AAGGGCCACAGGGGCGCCTAAGTGGCTCCGTCGGTTGCTTAACCGACTCCAACTCTTGGTTTCAGCTCAGATCATGATCTTGCAGTTCATGAGTTCGATCCCCCATCAGACTCTCTGCTGTTAGCACAGAACCAGCTTTGGATCCTTGGCCCCCTCTCTGCCCTGTCTTGGTTGCGCTCTCCCCCAAATAAATAAATACTTAAAAATAATAATAAAAATAAAAAAGCAAATAAACAAACACCCACTTTTACTACTGATTTTAAGTCTTTTTGGCACAGGAGGTAGGGACATAGCTGGGATGCTTGGATGATGTCCTTGAACCCAGAGTGAAGCTAGGAGAACAGTAGTATCTTCACTCCTGAACAACTGTTAACATTGAACAGGTGGGCTTTGAGCCCTGGGAACCCAGCTCCGTTACAACCAAGACTTCAGAAACTCTGCGACTGGCTGGATACCGTGTACTTAACGATGTTTCCTGCTCACTTGATGTGTGGTGCCGTTATTAAATTATTGATTCCTGAGGGGGTTATAATGAATTTTACACATAAGGGCATTTTTCCTCCTCTGACTATGTAATTTTAGGGCATAATTCTGTCCGTGTAGACAAAATAAAAGTGCTCTATGAGCAGTGAGGAATGCGAGGTCAGTATTTGGCACACTCCAGAATATCAGGCACAAAAAGTCCCAAAAAATGAGAAAACCTAAACCATGTGAGAGAAGGAAATTTTGGAACCTTAAGCTTTCTCTTCCTCTAAGAGGTGATTGTCCCAGGTGATCGGCCGAGTGACTGGGGTTTCTTCCTCTTTGCTGCCAGCTGGTTTGGTTCCTCTTCAGTGTGTTGCTCTGGGCTCTGCGAACGCTGTGTATTTTGTGGTTCATGCTTGAGTCTGGCATCCAGAGGCCTGTGTGACTCACAAGTGCCAGCTCTAAGCGTTGGCCACAGGTCTTGGTGGCCTGGCACGACACACCATTCTGACTCTCATCTCCGTGAAAGCTTTAGAGCTGAGAGGGTCAGCGACGGGGCGCAAACCCTGCCCAAAATCAATAGCATAATGTCAGGAATTCAACCATCGGTGACTTGGCCAAGCCCCTCATCACTACATTAAACGACACAGCACTATTTTGGTGACTTGCTCCAATTATCTGAACATTTCACCATCTTCAAGAGTATTGTCAGTGCCACGTAGTGGAACTACTATAAAGCCCACAGCCTCGTGATGAATCCGTGCAATCAGGTTATTTTCTGTGACTGGGACTAGGGACAGTGGCCACATCCTTCCATGAAGGGCTGCCATCTATGTTTTGGCATTTTTATTCTGACACGAGGATGTGGGGATGCAGGACACTCTTTTTAAGCTGACGTGAAAACTCTCCCAGGATGACTTCAGGGGCAAAATCTGTTACGCCCGCATGGGATCTTGTCGGCTGCCCTGCTTTCAAACCCATCCGAACTGTAGATTCACTTCAAACTTGTCTGTGCTGCAGAGACTTACTAGCTGCAAGTCCACTTGAGTGGGGCTGGCCAGGAGCTCTTACTCGTCCTCCAACATCTGTGGACATGGTATTGCTTCTCGAGAAAAAGTCACTTGGTTTCCTCATGGCGTGCATGAATATCTGTGTGAACAAGCGAGCTCTCTGTACTTTAACATATTCCACAGCAGATCTTAGGAGGACCAACTATTCAACTCATAACGAGCTTTTCTTAAATACCACTCTCACTCCCACTGGTAAGCTCCAAATAGACATTTGGTATTTGAATTTGAGGATCTGGCCACAATGGAAGGACACTGATCTAGGTAACACCAATCAAATTGGGAATTTGCAAGACTGGAGCAGAGACAGGAGTCGGGAAATAATCCCGACAATATATCTATATCTTTATCTTTTTATGTCTATATATTATCTATCTATCTATCTATCTATCTATCTACTACCTGTCTGTCTATCTATCCATCCGTTTATCTATGTAGCTATCATCTGTCTATGTATCTATCCATCTGTCCATCCGTCTATCTATCATCTATCTCTCCATCCATCCATCTATCCATCTATCATCTATCTCTCTATCTACCCATACATCTATCTACCTATCTATCTACATATTTAATCTAGAGAAGAGAAAACATGCAAGCAAATGAAGTTTTTTCTGAAATCAAGTTAAACATTCTCCATAAAAATGAAAGCAAAAGAAAATGATCTTCCATGCTCAGATATGTTTGGGAAATCTTGTTCCACAAAGTTAAATAGTTTCTTCTCCACCGGACCACTTGTAGCCTTTTATATGTCAGCACGCACCAAGAATCTTCCGGAAGAGGGCTAGAACACTGCTCAAGATCTTGCCAGGAAGCTGGGAGCTGCTGCAACAGTCATGCAATCTCTCAGAAGTGCTGCTTGGAGCACTTCCTTAAGTACTTCCTGAGGGCCGCGGGACCAGAAGGCTTACTGACACACAGATTTCTGGATCCTATGGCATGGTCCCTCGTGTGGCAGGTCGAGGGTGGTGCAGAATGTGCATTTCTAGCAAGTTCCCAGGTGATAGTGATGCTGCTAGCCTCAGGAACACATTGGAGAACTGAAACAACCTTTCCTATGCAAAGAGGAGCTGAAGTATCCCCCAGTGCTGAGTCATCTGCTGAAGACTGCGTCTGGGGGCAGTGAGTGGCCTTGAACCACACCAGGGCAATCCACCGGGCCAAGGGCCAGAGAGAGGCTGCCAAGAGAGACTTCCTAGCTTCTTACAGAGACAGGCGCCCACCTCCTTCCAGAATAATGTTGAAAACGCACCCATGTGCTGAAAATGTCAGGATTTCCATCAGCTGGCTCAGTTACTAAGAACTAGATAGTCACCTGCTGGTCCTTAGAATGAGCTTTCTGTAGCTTTTTTAAACTAACAGGTCTTAGAAGTCAATAAGCTTCCTGTTTGCTTGTTTATCACCGAGAAAAGCATGGATTCTCTGTGGCCTCAGGGGAACAGGGTGGAATCCAGGGACTCCTTGGTATAGTTTTCCGTCTGGTCTGCAGACATTGTCACAAACACCCCCGTGACTCTCTACTGGGCTCCAGCAAGTCCTCCTTAGTCTGGAGGGCTGACCTGGAGGCCTTCCTGAGCCTCTTCACCAACCCACTTATGCTCCTGCTGGATGCTCTTGGGCGGCTCTTCTACTGGGAGGACTTCCTCCAGCTTCCCTCACCCCATCCACACACAGGTAAGATCCCTCTTCCTGGAGGGTCTCAGAGGACCATGTGTCTTTTCTTTACAGCATTCATCATAGCTGAATTTCATACTTCCGTGATCAATGCCCATCTCCCCAACCAGATGGTGAGCCCCAAGAAAGCAGTAAGGTTTTATTCTTCATTGTACCCACAGCACCTACTTAGGTTCCTGGCACAGCAGAGGTGCCCAACTAAGATTTACTGGGTGGATGGAGGGAGGGAGGGGTGGACAGATGGATGGACAGATGGGTGATGGGCGGATGGACAGATGGATGGACAGACAGATGGGAAGATGGATAGACAGATGGATGGACGGGCATGTTTTACTCCAATGGCAAGCCTTAGAAATCAGGAACACTATGGCGCAGTCAAGAAAGATGAAGAGCACGGAGCCCAACTCTGAGGGGTGCACTGGGAGGAAACAGCCAGCAGTTCATCTAGATTCTGGACTTAGTCTCCCTACCAGCAAACAAAACAGAAACAGTGAGCCAACTACATTCACCGAGAAATATGGGCAAGAAAGAGGAATGATTTAAATGGACCCTCTTTGTGTGAGGAATGTGTAAAATTATACCAAAAGACAAACTACACTGCTGTCTATTGAAAACATCTTTTTTATTAGAAGCAATATAAATGCTTCCTAAAACATTCTGCAAATATAATGCACTGAATTTCTGTGAACAAGATGTTCTTCCCTCGGTGGCCATTCCTGTATTGAGTGAGAACGCCATGCCAGGTGGGGTAAAACGTGCTGAGGGGTCACAGGAATGGGAAAGGAAGGAGCGAAAAGCACAGCTCACACCCTCAAGAGCACTGTGGTCTGACGGAGTGTTGTCTTTATTTTGGATCTCTCCTTCTTAGCATACTTCCAGTTCATAAGTTATGGTCAAGTCTGTATCTTCAGAAAATAGCCTGTATATCCAAGGTAAACTGGACAATTAAAACAATTATCTGGGCGAAATAGGGCTAAAATACTACTTTGATTCTTAATCAGATGAGTCATGAAAGAGTGATAGATCATTATGATAAAAATTTTAATTCTTTGATATTTTTGAGAGACCTGAAATGTTTGAATACAAAAAGAAACTATCTTCTTTATCTTCCATAACAGGCAAAAAAAAAAAAAAAAAAAAAAAAAAAAAGGTCTTCTTTGAGAGTAGCTCTGGAATCATGGGTCAAAGTGAAAATTAGGCAGAACCCACAGGCACATCTATTATCCTTAGTGTTGGCCTCTGTCTCTCTTTAGTGACCTTGACACATCCTGGTGTCTGTATGAACGGGGCAATGTACATTCAGATAGTGTCAGTGCAAAGCCATAATGACTCCTTTGGAAACTTGTCTACAATATCCTTATTACAGATAGTTTTACCCTTTGGCTTTCGTCTTTTCTTGATACTCTACGCTCCTGGCAAATTCCATTTTCATACTATTTTATACTTTTTCATAGAGATGATTCATTAACTATGTAACTGTGATTTACCTCTATACCTTTGAAAGTTTCCTTATAAATGTATTTTTAAAAAAGATGCTAACTCTCTTTGACACACCACAGATCCCGCTTCTGCCGCGGGAAATACTGTCGAGGACCGCTTCCGTGGCGTACAACAATCAGGTGATCCCTACAGACAATAAATTCCGTTACTTTAAAATTCACTGTGGTTCCAGCCACGTCTCGCTATACACATCCGACCCATTCAGAGAGATAAGTTACTGAGGCTTGTTCACAGAACGAAGCTTTCCCCTCCCACACCCCCCCGCCCCCCCCACCCCACCCTGCATCACTGGAAGTATTGTCTGAATGCTCTCCAGGATTTAAATAACATCAGTATTTAAGAGACACTTAGCACCACAACAGGGAATTTGCGGGCAGGACTCGAACTATGCGGTTACTCCAGATGCTGTATTCGAACTGGATGGGCCCATTGAAAAAATAGATGTAACCTGTAAGATAAAGACCAAACAGGAAAGTTCAGAGTCTGGAAACAATAAGCGTTTATTCCAGCTCACGTTAGTGCAACTCATTAGATCCCATTTTTTTTTAACATGGTAACACATGTTTAAAAATCCCCTAACGCTTTAATATTTTGGTCATGGTGCACATGGACCCCAATGTCCATAGCAGCACTCTCCACAGTAGCCAAAACCTGGAAAGAGCCTAAGTGTCCATCAACGGACGAATGGATCAAGAAGATGTGGTTTATCTATACCATGGAATACTCCATGGCAATGAGAAGGAATGAAGTCTGGCCTGTGTAGCAACATGGATGGACCTTGAGGGTGTTATGCTGAGCGAAATAAGTCAGGCAGAGAAGGACAAATATCATGTGTTTGCACGTATAGGAGGATTAGGAGGAACTTGATGGAGGAACAAGGGGGGAAATGGTGGGGGAAAGGGAGAGAGGCAAACCATGAGAGACTCTTGAATGCTGACAAAAACTGAGGACTGATGGATGTGGGGGGGAGGGGGGATGGGCATGGAGGGGGACACTTGTGGGGATGAGCACTGGGTGTTACGTGGAAACTAATTTGACAGTAAACTATTTGTAAAAAAAAAAAATAACTAAAGTTTCCAAAACAAAAAAAAAAAATATTTTGCTCATGGTTTCAGGGAAAAATGTACAAGTTTCTCGCGTCTCCTGAGTTGTCCCCTTGAAATCGTCATCTTGCCAAGAGCTCCGTTATGGACGCTTGTTGTGTTGATTTAAGTTATTTGTTTTAAGTTTGGAAAAATACTTCTTTTCAAAATTAAGGCAAAAATGATATAATGATGGTAGATATTTTCCCTCTATATAAACGACACCGCACCCTACCCCTGGTCTAAATTATGGCAATAATCTTTGCATCTTGGCACTACTAAGCACAATTTAAGATAATGTTTAAAGTCTGGTGTCTTTTATTTGGAGAATTAGCAATAATTGAAGCACCATGTTCACTTATTCTAAGCACGTTATCTTTTATTTGCTGCCTGTGTAAGTGGTCACGCTAAGCACTCAGCTGCCACACATTCACTAGAGCATCTAAGTCTGGATAAACCTGCTTTGTAAGGGAAATGAAAGCCCTAGTGATGGAACTGGTTACCATTTTTCTCGTAGACGGCGTCCACTTTGTCACCGATCCCCGGAAACTCCTCCTCTATCAGCCTGGGGTAGTCTTGGTCCATGGCGTGCCCGCTGTCGTCATGGCTATAGAGTGAGGAAAAGACACTCTTAAGTAGGTCGTATTGCCGAGAAATTCTCTTAGGAACGATACAGTGGCTAGCAGGACACCTTTCGAAAGTGACATGAGTTTTAAAATTTTAAGTCCATTTAAAACATCTGGCAACCTTTTCAAATTAGGAATCACGAGACTGAGTGTGCGGTGGGTGTTTCCTGAGTATCGGTTGACTTGCCCGATGGCCATCTTTGTAAAGACAGTGACCAGCTCTCTCCACCTCACAGACCATATCTGTTATAAAAGTGTGTTATTAGGAAGGTGTCCTTACAGCGAAACACAGACACGTTGGTGCCCTGGACAACGGTGTACTGATGTCCCACCACAGGTGGGACAGCTCACTAAGTGCAGTAATGGACGCAAGAATATCGGAAGTGTAATTTCTCTAACTTAAAGTCACAGGGGCACATGGTAGCGCTGACGCCAGGAGGGGAGCATAGCCCTGCCCCCCATAATTGCGATTCAGCATCCACCGCCCTCGCGTGGGCGTCCCCACCCGCCAAACACATCCTGCAGCCCACCCAGAGCGGCGCCCGTCACTACTACTGTTACTGTTACTGAGGAGTCTCTTGTCCCTGAAGGAAGTTCTGGTAGGTGAGAGACCAGAGCTGGAAGTCGAAATGGCTAGAACCTGTGCACACCGCAGCGCTAAGCCACAGACGCTAGGCATCGTGACAAGCACGCAGAGAGTGCCGTGGGAGTACATGGCGGGGGGGTTGGGGGGGGGAAAGTCTCAAGGGCTCGAAAAGGACTTGAAGTTAAATAGTATTTCCAGTTAACTTGAACCAGTGGGCAGAGTTTCAAGAGGGAGAGATGCAGGCAAAGACCTTCCGGTCAAATGGGCGGATGCGGATACAGCACATTTGAGATCTGGTGAGTCATACACCCTCACTGAACCACAGACCTTGTGTCGGGCATGGGGACCAACGTGGAACACCGGGAGATCTTTAGAGAGTAGGGACCACCACTGTCAGAAATAAAGAAGTCAAATGGCAAAGAGACCATATACAGGGAATGTGTGTGTGTGTGTGTTTGCGTGTGTGTGTGCATGCACATGTGTGTACAGATAAAGTAGAGCTACTAATTTAAGCCTTTCAAGTATGGGATCCCTATAAGACTCTCTCTCTCTCGCTATATATATATATATTTATACATACATATATATGCGTGCCCTAACCAACCAAACACATCCTGAAATCATATATATATATATAAATGATTATATATATGAAATATATATATTCTCATCTACCTATCTTTATCTATCTATCCGGCTCTAGGTTCTTCATTGTTGCCAGTGTCAAAGCTGCCTCAATATCTACAGATGTCCTAAATATTCTAACTCCACCCGTCCTTCACAAAGGGGCTGACTTAAGAGTTGTGGGCCTAGCTGCTTCCTGGCCAGCCTCTCTGGTGGGTGAGCAGACGTGAGGCAGCGGCAGAGCTCTCTATCTCCGTCTCCTGCACCTGCTCCCGCGTCCTCTCCGACCACAAAAGATGGAGCTACATGTGAATTAGGCCATGATGAGAAAGAGGAGCCAGGAGGAAGACCAGCGAGAATGAAGATGTCAAAGTAACAGAGATGGTTTAGCAGGGCTGAGGTACGACGAGTGGCCAAGAAAGAAAAGAACATGGGCCCTGCATGTACACACATGTGCTTTCAAGAGCACTTGAGACTTTTAAATACTTGTCTGAGGATCTACCCTCAGGAGCTGACATGGAGCGGAGATTAATGTGACTCTCCTGATATTTAAACAGTGCATGAGATAATAACTTAAACTAGTGAGAGTGAGCGGGACTCAGTCCGCCTGCTCGGCACCGGTGATGGGTCAGTAAACATGGCGGCCATACCTCCAGACCTGGTTTCCCGAGAAGAAGAGCGTTTTCCCTGTGTCCTCGAAGTGGACAGCCGCACTTATCTTTTTAACTTCTTTTGGAAATCCCAGCTCGGATATTTTTTTGGGGTAACCTTCCAGAATGTCATAACCATTAAGAGCCCAAAATTTTCTGCCTAGAATAAATGAAAGAATGGTTTTATTATGCCAGGGAACCTATTAGGACCCCCATTATGTAGATATTTACTTTAACAAAGAAAGACTCATTTTATGCATTTAGAAATAAATTGGCATTTGTGGTCACCCCGTTTATGTAGCATAGAAATAAACACCTGTCAAACAGAAACAGGATCTACTGGTTCCTACTCATTTCCTAATTATGAGTATAATTACCAGCGAAACACCATAATTATTTGGCTATTTATTACCTCTGAATGTTAATCTGGAGTTGGGTGAAAAGAACATTAAGATTTCGTCATGAATAAGGAGTGCAGTGGGAACAGCACAGTAGATTGAAAGTTGTTACTTCCTTCTCTTGAAAGTGACTTTATGAGAGTGTTGATTATAATTGTCAAACAACAGAAATGATGTTAGTAGAATGCTGGTAGCCTTTACGGATTATGATCGTGAAGACGGAGTAGCGGTTTGGAAAACCATCCATGATTTTGTCAAGGGAACAAGTAAAATATTCAAATGTATGTACACTGAAATGTAGATCCTGAGAAACTGAATAGAAGACCATGGGGGAGGGAAGGGGAAAAAATAGATACAAACAGACAGGCAAACCATAAGAGACTCTTAAATACAGAGAACAAACTGCAGGTGGGTGGGGGGTGGGGGAGAGGGAAAAATGGGTGATGGGCATGGAGGAGGACACTTGCTGGGATGAGCGCTAGGTGTTGTATGGAAGCCAGGTTGACAATAAATTATATTCATTAAATAAATAAATACGATCAGCATACATTATCAAAATAAATATTCAAAAATATATATGGTGGAGAACTACTAAAAAAGTGAGAAAATGAAATAAACTGACTTTTCAGAAGAGGGAATTATGGACAATAGTTTTTTTCCATTTTTCAAAATGTACATTGTTATCAGGTTTGCTCAGCAAAAAAGTTTTAAGAAGAAATAAGGAAACACTGGCATGGTCACCATAAAACAAACAGTAGGTTTGTAACGGTAAGTAATAATGTAGACTTTTCATTCATCAAGTGTGGGGACATTTGGTAGAAGGGCTCCAGCTACATTCTGCTTTCTGTTTTGTTATGCTCGGTTCTTCTTCAGGGTACTTCTGAGGAGGCTCATTTTGCCAAGCCTCTGGCAGCAGCAGTCTCGTCCCTGCCTCTCGGGGAAAGGCTTACCTCTAAAGATGAAAATAAGATCACGGGAGGGGTGCTCGTAGGCAGCGTCGATGCGGTTGGGAAGTTCCGGCCAAAAGGACTTTGTTAAGAACAACTCTGCGTCCACCTGCTGGGGGTGCAGGCGCCAGAAGAACCTAACGGAAGGGGGAGATGCAGAGTTTGCTGTCTTAGTTCTGAAGTGTAAACGCTTTTGCTGCTGCCAGCCACCCGTGTCCACACCCACACGGGGAAGCAGGAGCAATCGTCACTTGTGGACGTTTCCCTTCGGGGCCAGCTGGACAGGCCACTGACTAAAGTCGGGAGGTTAAATCTCACAGAGCCTTTGAGGGCCCTGCGGCCTCTGTGAGCTGAGACCACGCTTTGTTCAGTTTTGCAAATCTCGCAAGTGCCGAGCAAACACGCCCGGCGCTGGGTTAGGCTCTCGAACGAAAACGGGGATTACAAAAAGTACATCTTCCAAGTGAGTGGCCTGGAAACAGCTGCGTAAGAAATTCCTGGACTACAGTGTCGTCAGGGCTCTAACAGGGGAGGTGGGGATGCTATTGGATCACTGATAAGAGCTCAATTAATCGATGGATGAATAAATGAGCAAATGAAAAAATCAGCTTCATTAGAACAGTGTTCTGATAGGAAGTTAAAAATTCATGGTTCATTACCCACAGGTAGGTTTAGGTTATAAAGAACTTGTTCTCCCAAATTCCCACATATGTTACCAGAACAAAATTCTCTCCAAACCAAAAGGAATTCACGTGGACACTGTAACAGTTTACTAATATGGTAATTGATTTCACTACTCATGTTTTTAAAATAAATGCACTGGACTTGTACGTTTACTTGGTTATCTTTATAAGAACGGGTACAACCAAAGTTGTAAAGAGGGTTTGCATAAGGCCAAGACTCCCCATTTAAAAGTAAGATGTTTATCTGTCAGTCATTTATTTCATCTGAAATGTTTAAAAAATCAAACAAACAAGCCCAAACTGCCCAAAGATCTCTTATTTTTGCTGTTAACTTCATCTTTGGAAATCTGACTGGATGCTCGGCAATTTGCAGATCCAGCTCACGAATGTCTGTGACTCGCAGATCGTATGAGATGGGATCATGAGTACCTGTCTTTAAAGATCATGGTCTCTCCTCGGAGGCTGGTGATGGCGTCGAGGGTTAAGGACGGGTCACATTTGTCTGGCGTTTTGGGATGTTTCGGGTTGGGGTCATCATCTCCTGGGCCTGCAGTCACGACATGAACGACAGAAGGTGGTGAGGATGGCCCCTCTCGTGACCTGAGCCTGCTAGTGGGCAGCAGGCAGGTCCCCTGAGGGGAGGGCAGTAGGTCCTCAGCTCCAGCGTCACGACGCGCACGATGCGACTCTGCTCCTGCCCCCCGGGTCACCCGCTCTTGCAGACCCCTGGACACCCTTCTCAACTCCAAGCTCAGGTGTCTTGAGATCCGGTGATAGGGATGGGTGGGCTACACCCGCCCCGGGTTGTGCACCAGCTCCTACCAGGCTGCTCCCCAGAGACACACTGGAGCCACTTCTGGTGGCTCGGCGTCCCTGAGGGAGCTTCACCTCAGCTGTCACCAGCTGGCCCTGCCCTGTCCACGATGGCTGCCTCCCCAGTCCGCGCCAGCACCGCTCTCCGTGCCCAGCCAGGCCTCCGGCAGCCCTCGAATGGCACGAGTGTGTGGCTCCCCGCACCCCCTGGCTCCCACGTGTGCCGGCCACAGTGACAGGTCCGAGCTGCCTTCTCTGCACTGAGTTCATCCTAGCTACCCCTGCACACGCCCTGCTCACAACCCTGGAAAGCAAGGAGAGAAGCTGGCCCAGCCCACGCTGGCTGCTCCCGCAGACTTCAGCGCAGAGGGGGATGCAGCAGGTGTGCTGAGCTCGGTGCTGCAAAGTGTTTCCACTGATGACCCTGCCCTGTGGCTTTAGCTCTCCTCATGGCAGGTGTGCTCGTCTGGGGAGAGGCTTAATAACTACTTTGTAAATATGGTTAGAAATTTGGAAGGAAAAAAAAAGAGGAAGGGATTCTTACAACGGTCCCTGTAGATGTTGGTTAAGTTGCCACAGGCCACTTGAATGGTTTCTGCGGTGGCAAACTGACGCGGTTGAAGGAACACTCGGGATTTACGGGAGCCAGTGAGACCTCACTTTGACCCTCAGCCTCAGTCCTAGAGATTCTCTTCCTAAGTTCCAGGGCTTAGTTGCTTTGTTGGCCAAATGGGGAATTGAATACTTTCCTTCCTTACGTCAGAGGTGTCTTGAGAGTCTCAGAATACAAAATACAAATATGAACCTGCAAAATCTTTGGAGAATAGAATATTTTCTACTTGAGCAGGTAGTCTGATTCAGAAAGAAAAAATGGGGATGTTTTGCCAGGTTCTAATAACAGGACCCGGGGGCGCCTGGATGGCTCAGTTGGTGACGTGTCCGACTTCAGCTCAGGTCATGATCTCAGTTTGTGGGTTCGAGCCCCATGTTGGGCTCTGTGCTAACAGCTTGGAGCCTGGAGCCTGCTTCAGATTCTGTGTCTCCCTCTCTCTCTGCCCCTCTCCCACTTGCACTGCCTATCTCTCTCAAAAATGAATAAACATTAAAAAAACAACACAGAAATAGGACAGCAACATTGGTCATGAGAAATCCATTAATAATTTTGAATATAAATGTCTGTATCTATTCTGGCTTTGAAGTGATAAATTAAGAGGTACCATAGAGAGACTGGATGCCTTGTACATCGTCGTCGGGAAGCATGAAGTGGCTTTGGCCGGTGTAGGTGTAGATGGGAAACATGAGTGCTCCTGGGTCCTTGGAGTGGTCGAGACCCAAGGAGTGGCCAAACTCATGGGCAGCGACAAGAAACAAGTTGTAGCCTGTAAGGAAACAAGGAAACGATAAGAAAACTAGGTCCTCTGATGACCAGTTAGTGGATGGAATGATATTTTCTTCATCTATTTCTCTTTCTTGGCTATTTTACTATTTTTTAAAAATTAACATTCAGTTGCTTGAAGGAAGAGTCAAAATATTGATTTAATCCTTATAAGTAATTGAGTGTTCTCTTTGATTATAGCTGCCTACATAATTAGAATATCAACAGATCACTCTCGAATAATTAGTCATCAGTGAAGATTTACTGCGAAGACAGTAATAATCTTTGTCCTTCCAGGCCGGGTGAGGAAAGTGGACAGTGGTGGCCTTAAAGGAGGAGTCATGGGAAGTCACATAGGGCGGTACAGATCAACATCATCAGAACAAGAGGCGCCATGAAGAGGGATGACAACCAAATATGGCAGATGCACTAAATAGGGTCTCTGGGAATCTCCTTGGGAACAAATACCAACTAAACGATCCCTTCCAGAATATTTCTAGACTCTACAGTTTAAAGAAATACAGACTCTGGAGATGCTTGGTCCACATTCCCCTATTTTAGCAGACCACTGCGTCACTGTTTTTAAGTGACTTTCTCTAGGCATTTTTTCTGCCAATATTTGAGCCTCTTCATACTGGTATTTTAAATTCAAAAAATACATACACAAGGTTGGAAAGAAACACATGGAATTGGAGTCAGTGGTTTCACCTTGACCTTAAACACCACTTGCTCTCAGAGCCTGTGCTCAAAGAAAACGTACAACCAACTTAGCAATGCGTGCAGACCACAAGAGCAATCAAAGCTCACACGATTTGAGTGACAAGCAATTCTTCATTGAAATGACCAGCAATAGATCCCATTCCTGGCCTTCATGGTTTGTTTGGGAATATTTTCGTTCATTTCAGCTAAATATTTCAAACCCAGAATTCACGCAGGAACCTAAAACTCAGGTTTAGTGTGGCTCTATCTTAACAACACTAGAGGTTATTCTTTCTGCCTAAAATCATTCTTACCTGTGTACTATTCAGAACACAAATATACAAATTCTCACCTTTCCTTCCAAAGACAGATTGGAGGCATTGGAGCTCAGGCATTAGTCAACCAACGCCCAGTGCACTCTTTGGGAAAACAATCCATTTGATTTAAGTGAATAACATTAGCCTCTATGAGGACTACCTCTAATTATCACCACCAACAGGCAGTAAGCCTCCACAGTTAGGTTCTAGTTGGAACACTCTGGCTTTTCTTCCTAAATTAATATTTTGAGGGGTTTTTTTTTGTTTTGTTTTGTTTTTTTTTTTACTTTTGAAGCTTCAACTACTGACTGAATTCATTCAACACTGAGTTTCATTTTGCTCTTATATGTACAACTTTTATCTGATCTATCTCAAGCCGTTTGGAATAAGGCACTATCCTGATCTGTCGTAATGGTGTTTATAAAATCAGTGATATACGCTGTCAGAAACAAGTAATTCATATAACAGAAAACAGACAATTGATAGCAACTGTGCTATTTCTGTCAAGGAAATAAAACTATTTCGACTCACACCCAACTCATCTATGACTTACCTATCCAGCCCTCATAGTTTTTAGATATATATAAGCAGTAAACTGTACTTCCTTAACATGCCGAAAGGTAATCTGTAGTAACAACACCTTGGTTGACAGAAAGACATGTTGGTCCTAATTCAAAGTTAGCCATACCCCTCAAGCCACTAAACCAAACCGCTCACTTTTTGTGTTTCACATAGATGTGTAGGAATGTCACTTATAGAGACTAATAAACATAAGACACACTTTTAATTGTTTTGAAAAATATAATCGACCATCAAATATAATTTACAGTCTGCTTCTTAACTTGTTGTCAATGGGGGGGGGGTCACTGTCTAATCTAATCTAGTAATCATGACATACTTTCATAAGAAATATTACCTTTGGAACTACTTGTCCATGTTTCATCATCATCAAAATGGGCATCCCCTCCATAATTTGGCCCAGGAGGAAAAGCATGAGCCAGCAGACCAGAGGGTCCATCAAAGGGGTAGAAGTCTCCATGCTCTACACACAAAAGCAAGAGTTACGGGTCTAATTATATCTACCAGTGCCCGGCACACATGCTGGGTGAATTCTGCAAAAAGTGATGAATGGCAGAAAGGAGGAATGAAAGAATGGAGACAATTAGGGAGCAAAATGTAAAATTGTCTCCAAAATGATTCCACGTTATTACCTTTAGTTCCAAAAGAGATCATGATGTCAGCAGTGCCATCATGGAGTCTGGTGAAATTCAGTGGTGTCACATCAGACCAAACTTTGAAGGCTTTTCTGAATGCCTTCTCAACTTCGGAATGACTCAGATCAGGGGTGTAATTCACAATCCTATTTAACAGAGAAAGTTTCAATTACGTTTCTGGAAGGCTCAGGCTATCTGAGAATATGTTTTCTTGGAATACTGCTTTTCGACTCAAATGCAATGGCTTCTCTGAAAGTTCTGGGAGAGGCCCATCATTTCAGAGAACTTGCCAATTATGATACCATACAAAGAAAGATAGCAAAATGAATTCCGTCAGACATTTGTGTATCTCCAAGTATCTGGCCACTTGGCATCTTACATTTAAAGTATTCAGATATTTCATTTAAAATTGTTTTAATGTTTATTTTTGAGAGAGAGAGAAAGAGAGAGAGGGAAAGAAAGCATGAGCTGGGGAGGGGCAGAGAGAGAGGGTCCAGGCTCCAGGCTCTGAGCTGTCAGCACAGAGGCCAATGCACGGCTCAAACTCACGAACTGTGAGGTCACGACCTGAGCCAAAGTCTGACGCTTAACCAACTGAGCCACCCAGGTGCCCCAAAGTATTCAGATATTTAATAAAACTCATACTGAATGATACAAGTTTGGAATTGTATCGCTATGCCCTAAAGATGAGACAGCTCCGTAAAGTTCTCAGAGACAGTATGACTCTCCACTTTTAAGCACTATTAATAAATATGCCTGATACAGTACATTTGCAAATTCTTTTAAGCCTCCTTTACTTCTAATTTGATTTCTTTTCTAAGAAAACCACCTTGAGACTTTCAACAGACAGTAATGCTGGGTTAACAGAACAATCATAGATGGTAGGAGACATTCTCGCCAACAGTATTCACGTTATTAGTGGAATTCTTAAACTTCTCGTTACGTGTTCAAAGCCTACCTTTTAAAAATGGGACCGAACGTGTCCTGCCATTTGGAGCTTGTGCTGAGAATTAGGTATTTCATGCTGTTTTCAGAACTAACAAATCCTAAAGAAAGACAGCGCCTGCTGTACCTGTAGGTTAAGTTCGTCCCGGACCACCTGGGAGTTCGGGGGAACACGCTGTACCCGCCCACATCGGGGACCCCACATCGCGGTTTCTTCATGACGTCCAACGTGCTGTCATCAAGCTTGCCAGTGACCTCTAGGCCAAAAAAGGCTTGCATCTCCCGGAGCCTGTGAGCCACGGCGCTCGCGGCGTCCTTCCGCAGGATTGCAGCGGGGTCCCGCGGGGAGTAGTAGGACCTCAGGTAGCGCTGGAAGAGAGGCGGGAAGGCCCTGCGTGCACGAGGCGAGGGCGCGGGGGGGCCGGGGCGCGCCGCTGGGACTGGCCGGGAGCCCTACCTCTGCCAGCTGGCGGTCCTCCTCGGACGGGCCGTCGTCGCCGCCGCGGGGGGCCGGCAGGCAGCGGCAGCGAGCGCAGCCCCAGAGGAGGAGGGCGGTCAGCACGGCGGGGGGCATGGCGCCAGCTGCCGGCTCCCCGCAGAGGGCACCTCCGTTTTATAGACCTGCAGCGTGAGTCATCGTCTGCGCACGGGCTCCCGCTTCCCGCGGAGCTGGCGGGAAACTTGCTTACAGGGCGACTCCTGTCTTCCTCCCAAGAAGTGTGGTTTGTGGGAGAACTTGGGGGAAATATACAACGAGGCCATCTCTCGTTTCAGCGGGGCCCCAAAAACCACCTGGCCAAACAAACGGCCTCAGCGTATTTACAGACACTGTGGGAAGAGGCAGGGACTACCGAGCGGCTCACCTCCGGAGGGGAGCAGCTGCTTTTGTTCTTTCCGGGAAGACACGCGAGGTGGTGCCCTTCCTTCCTTACAGACACGCTGGGCCCTGCTTCTGGAGCGCCCGCAGCCCGGGGACCGACGAACACCGCCTTCCCCAAAGCAGTTACAGACGGAGCGCCGTCTCCCGGAGGCGGAGAGCTGGGCCAGACCCACGCTCGGAGCCCTGGGGGGTGCCGGGGAACGGCCACAGGCCTGAGGCTGCGGGTGACATCTGAAGGCTCTGGTGTGACCCTTAGCACACAAGGAGTCCTGCTCGAACTCTCTGCGGGTCCAGGACGAGGGGGGGAAGACCCTGCAACGTAGTGCAATGGCCACCCCGTGCTGGCGGGCCGCTGCGTGCCAGGCACTATCTCACTCACCTCCAAGGCAGCCACGGGAAGCAGGACCGCCAGAAGGCTTCCTTTCACTTTGCAGAAGAATAATCTGGGTCACAAACAAGTCAAATACTTGCTTCAGGTCACAGAGTTAATAAACAGTACTCTCGGGTTTCCAGTCCCAGCCACTAGACTCAAGACTTCATGCTCTTAACCGCCATGCAGCATGGCCTCTACCCCCTTAATTCTCAGAAATTTTCTCAAAAACTGAACTGCTTTCCCCCCACATGTCTGGGAGTATCCAGGAAAACCTGGGGTCTAGGTAAGCTCATGGCCAATGTCAAATTTCTCAATTTTTATTTTTAAGTTTACATAGTAGAAATGCCTTAGGTCCACCACTCAGGGAAGCCATCCATGAGTGCCCTGTGGTCTGTTTACCTTCCAGAACCTCACACACTTAGTACCATGAAATCTGAATGCCATCTTCGGTCCCCAGCAGATGTAAATGGATGGAGGACTACGAGTCATGATCTTCAGATTGAATGCCTGAGATCAAGGCAAGTTAATTTAAGCGATCAAGAGTCAGAGCTCAGGTAGCTCTGGAATACACGAAGACAAACAGAAGGAGCATGAATACAGATTTGGGTGGGTTGGGTGCACTGGGAAGGGCCATCCGCGTGTGAGTAAAATGCCATCCTCCCCGCTGGCTAGTCCTTGGGGTGAGCAGAAAAGCCTATAGAATGTCAGCAATCAGTTGAGTGAATTTTTTTTTTTTTTTTTGAGAAAGAGAGAAAGAGACGGAGAAAGTGTGCAAGTGGGAGAAGAGCGGAGAGAGAGGGAGAGAATCTTAAGCAGGTTCCATGCTCAGCATGGAGCCCGACATGGGGCTCGATCCCATGACCCTGGGATCATGACCTGAGCCAAAATCAAGAGTCAGGTGCTTAACAAACTGAACCACCCAGGCACTCCAGTTGAGGGAAATGTATGCTTTTTCCAAAACAGAACCAAATAGATCCTTACAGTAGGTATTTCTAATGAGTTCAAGATTAGATTAGGCCCAACCAGCAGTGCAAAACAATAATTTGTTTTAAGTCTCTTTACAACAGCTGACTTTAGATTAAGTGATAATTATCCAAGAATTTGATTCATCTACTGAGCTTCTAGGAAATCAGTTCATTAGAAATCATTTACTGTTACCAATAAAATTTCATAAGCTTTTAAAGTCTCTTCAGATATTTAAAAAGGAGCCTTAACGACCTCTGGAAACAAATGACATTTTACTTAATGTGTAGAAGGGGAAGAGACACATCTGTTTTAAAAAGCCGCTTTAGCTATTAAATCAGTGACTACTGACTGGACATCAACTGTGCGGGATACCATGCTAATCACTAGGAAGGCAGAAGGAAGCCAAGAGCCTTTTTCTCAGGATGATTACAATATTATCTCCCCACAAAGACACATTTTTTAATGAGAAATAAAAATAAGTAAATGTCATGGTTTTTCAACTTCAAAAATAATGCTTATTACAAACAGCGTTAAGTATTTTATGAGTTTCCCATTCCACTTGAGAATTTAAACAGTGCAAAATAAAAAACACAGAAAGGTCAATGGGAACACCCTGTTCAGTTTCCATAGTGTTCTTAGCAGGGTAAATAAAAATTGCTCAGAAGATTAAAACAGAAGTTGATTCCTTAAGAAAACAATGAAACTGCTTGTCCGGAGGCTACTGTTCACAGAGGAGTGCGTCTGGCTGGTGATTAGGATGTGTCATCACGGGGAAGCGTGTTGGCAAATTGCTTGTCAACACGAGTCCTTATCTCGGGCTGTTAAGTGTTGGAATGAAAGCTGGTCTTTACAGCTGGTGAACTGGTTTATGGTTTCAAACGACACCTTTAACACAATGAGGCTGAGCTGGTATTTACAAATGGTTCTAACCAGCCTACCGGAGACTGGAAACTTGAGAAGCTGTAGAACGAGCAAACAACACTAGACCCAATTAGAAATGTGTGTCTACTGCTGATTCAGACATAAGCAATATGGGACTTTTGAAGACATACATCACCAACTAAACTAGCCAGGACAGAACCAGAGATGCTCATGACCAGCCCTTGAGTAAAGCAAGGGGAGGTTCCAGGTCGGGAAAACCAGGAACAAAGGGCTAGTGCAGCTGGATTACAGTTATGAAAATTCTAGAAGTCAAACAGTCTTTAAGACAAAAACTTTGGTGTCAGTTTAGAGTGTGGTAAATCAACAATGTTGGCAGTGACACTTGGTATCTTTATTTTTCTACAAGTTAAGGATTTGAGTGTGCAAGAGGAGGAGGTAATAATTGTCGGAAATACCCTCCGGTGGTTATCTAGTTTCTGATCCCTCCCGCCCCCGGTACCGCCCGCTGGAATGGGTCCCATGCCTTAAAAAGGAATCACTAAACTGGAAGGTAAACAGTGGATTACAGTGACACTCTAGAGTAAGGTGCAAGAGTGCCCCCCCTGCACACTTATGCACAAGCCTGGCACACCCACAGGTCAAGTGCAGAGCACAGAGGACTCTGTGCAGGTGCTGTGTCTGGGAAGCTGGTCAGCATCAAGGGAGAGCCTTGACGTTCCACGTCTGAATCACACACCCGGCGGAGATGCCTGTGTTCACCTGGGGTCCATCCCCCAAGAAAGAAATACAGTCTGCAAGAGAAAAGGAGATTAGTTTTGAATTCTTACTCGAGCGTGACATCTGAAAGTCAAGACTTACTTTTCTGGGCTCACTTTCTAACGAATTGTAATTTTATTGTGCTTTGTTACACAGAGTGGTTACTGGGTGTCCACCACCAGATTTCAGCAAAGCTGCAAGAGGAGACACCCAGGAACAGGACACTGGCCTCGCCCAGCCCTGTCCAAACATCTTGGAAAAGGGAAAACTCTGGATTGCTTGGCAGTGAATAATGGAAAGAAAAACAAACTAGAGGAGTAATTGCAATACATTTAAAGATCGCTAATATTTAAGCAATGAAACAAAAGCTCTATTTTCAAAGCAGCCTGGCCTCACCTTGTTACCCTAATTCACTAAAATAAAAGTTGTTACTTAAACAACAAATTTTCTGATTTAAAAAATAATACACAAAAAAGGTAAATAAACTTACCGCATGATGGCTGGAAAATAAGGAGAAACCTGGAAGGAAAAATTACTGTGTAATACCTCAAGATTTTCTAGATCATCCCCACATAAATATTCTGAAAGTTGATTTCTTTAGATGGTAGTCAATCTTAAGGGTCTTTTTTAAACAGTATTTTCTGGGATAGAAAAACTTGCCACGTTGGTGCTTTGGTGAATCTGCTTGATTTTCAGTCCCAGGAAGGCGGCGGGAATGCATCTGGGGCACGTGCTCCCTGGTTCGCCCGTCGCTGAATCTGTCAGGAAACGGAGAATGAGCTCAAAACTGCACGCCAGGTATCTTAATAATACTTAATGATACTATGCGTTAAAGAGGGCACTACTTGAAAAGGTTTCATATGCTCCAGTTGGATAAATTCGGAAAACCACAGACGGGAAGTAGACAGGACACCCACGGAGACTTCCCGTGAGTCCCGCTCCCAGGCTGGTGTCATGGCTCCACGCGCAGGAAGAAGGCCCGGGCCTCGGACGTCTCCTGGGAATTCAGGTGTCCTAATTTCACTAATTTCCTTGGGGCGTCCATCAGCACCACGTGAGGGCTCCCGACTTTTCCCCTGTTAACGACAGTGAGTCAAAGAAAGGCCTTAAACTTGGCAGGAAAGTTATGACCAAGCATTAAAACATGTCTCAGGCAAGGTGACATCGGAATGGCAAAGAAATGCTTTTAAGCCATGGGCTACAGGACGGGGGTTTGCCTCTTCCTCCTCCCCAGGGACTCAGCTCCTCGCTAAGTCCGCAGAGACCGTGCACACGCGCCTCGGCATCCGTTACACCGCCCATTCCCAACCCTGCCATTTATTAGCTCCCTCACACTTGCTCCTTGTTTCATCTCACTGACACAGCAGTGAGCAAAACACACCCAAATCCCGGTCCTCACGCAGCTGACACTCTAGGAGGGAGAGAGCGGTAATTAGA